CCAATCACCTGCCTGTCTGCATTTCTTTGCCGCGTGGCATATTCGTTTCCAGTGATTGGCTTCACTCGTTTCACGATTTGGCTTGGCGTTTCACCTTTCCGGGCTTCGCGTTTCATCTTTCCGGGCTTCGCGATTAACCCTTAACAGGTACGCCGGGGCGCATCCGATCCCACGATCGTCGTCGCCCCTAAATTAACAACAACAATACGAGGCTACTGTTCCCTGGGTACCTGTGACACACGTAGTCCCGTTCCAAAAGATTCAGGCAGCAGTGGACAAGCTCGGTGTAGCAGGAGAGAAGAATGTCCCCGGTTGTTACGTCCTGGGTTTCTGGTGAAGCACTTAGATCCGGGTCGGATGGGCTTAGGCACCAGGACCATAGCAGGTTGTTGTTGTTTAAGATTCGCTACTTGGAACAAAAAGTTCCAAGTAGCGCGGGCTATGGCGAGCCCGTTGAAGACTTACCTGGCACAGGAGCGGGGCTGTAGCTGCTCGGTGGGTTATTACTTGTTGTTATAAATTCAGCTACTCGGAACAAGTTCCAGGTAGCACGGGCTATGGTGAGCCCGTAACTTACCCGGCACAGGAGCGGTGCTGCATAGGAGGTAATGTAGGTACAAAGTGCTTGCACAGTACAGTAAAGTGTCTGTTACACGGCAGAGAAACAGACTGCAGTGAACGTGTAGATGAATATGATGATAGGGCAGCTTTGTGGAAATCTTTGTGGACCAGCTGGTTTAAACTCGCACTGTATTTTGTGCTACCCAATCCCCCAATATATGTACCTAAGCCATAAAACCTCACCATTGTAATCCTTGCACAATGCAAGCAGAGTTGGTAGCAATACTGGTAGCACTCGAAATTATTGACAACACTGAAGTAGACAGCTTAATTATTTCCGACTCCCTTTCCTCACTACGAGCAATAAACAGTTTGCAATGAAGTAATAACGTGCTTGTCTTGGAAGCTAGACGTATATATATAAGAATACTTAGCAAGAGGGTAAATATAAAAATGTTGTGGATTCCTTCTCACATTGGCATGCGGGAACATGACAAAGTTGACGCCCTTGCTAAGGCTGCAGTAAATAAAGACAGTATTGAACTGAATCCTGAGTTATCAAATAAGTCCCTTAAAAGTGTCATTAGACGAGAACTCCTGGATGAATTTGAAGAAAGTAGAACAGTGCAAACTGGAATTAGCAGGTCCATTGCTCATCACAATGAAATGTGTGAAGTAAAACATGTGTATGGGGCAAGTAACAAAGTAAGTAGACTAACAGATGTTGTCACAGCTCGTATAAGACTTGGCTACAAGTATCTCTGGCAGTTCGGCTTGTATAGGGATCTAGATGAAGTAAAGTGTAAAGTGTGTGAACAAAGACAGGGACACACACTCGAACGCTATATCTTGGATTGTAGTAAAATTGAGCCATTTAAAGATAAATCTAAGCTCTTTCTGTATGATATGGCAACCTATCTTATTACCATGGATAAATTACCTGAAATCCTTGCACTGTACCCACATTTCGCTTCCAGTAGATGAACGACATATGAGATTCAGAAACAAGTAGTGTATTGTGAGGACTAATAATAAACAGAAGCTCCCCTATGACTCTGTAATGTCTCCATTGGTCAAACTATTATGTATTAGCGATAAGACCTACCATTAATGTATGACGACTTACTGTAAATATATAGCTCTTGAAATAGCACTTTCTGTGTAACTAGCTGACATTGTAACTATAAGGTGTGAACGATAGATGAAATTATTCATGTAATAATCTAAGATGAGGTCTGATAAAGACCTTTTGTGCCCTCTGTAATGCTTTTTGCGCTACCGCTCACAGGATGAGTATGGGGTGCACAATAAACTAGTCGCCTCCGGCGGCAACAATCAATCAAATGTAATCATTGCTATCATCTTATATCATGGTTGTTATACTGAACGCATATTTTACTGCATTGTACCTTGAAATAATCCTCAAATTATGCTACAATGTACATATTGATAACCCTCAAATTCTACTTTAATGTACCTACTAATCTTTGTCAGATTTTCTTACACTGTATCTGTTAACATTTTTTCAATTTTGCTCAAAATTACCTACTTAAAATTATCTGTCAGATTAAGAACCTGCCCGAAACGCTATGCCTGTTAGTGGCTTTACAAAAATATATAAATATCAAAGGTTTTACTCTCATAAACCCAATGTACCTTCTTGAATATAAATAACAAAAAAAAATCCCATTTGGTGGTTTGACTGTAACCTTGTATGTGAGTATTTCACTCGAGCTGGTAATTACCCTCTCTCTCTCTACAGTTTATACCATGAGTCATACTTAATTGCCTCGGGGTGGGGACACATGACGGTGGTGGGGGTGTGGGGACACATGACGGTGGTGGGGGTGTGGGGACACATGACGGTGGTGGGGGTGTGGGGACACATGACGGTGGTGGGGGTGTGGGGACACATGACGGTGGTGGGGGTGTGGGGACACATGACGATGGTGGGGGTGTGGGGACACATGACGATGGTGGGGGTGTGGGGACACATGACGGTGGTGGGGGTGTGGGGACACATGACGGTGGTGGGGGTGTGGGGACACATGACGGTGGTGGAGGTGTGGGGACACATGACGATGGTGGGGGTGTGGGGACACATGACGGTGGTGGGGGTGTGGGGACACATGACGGTGGTGGGGGTGTGGGGACACATGACGGTGGTGGGGGTGTGGGGACACATGCCGGTGGGGAGTGGGGTGGGGACTAATGACGGTGGGGGGACACATGCCGGTGGTGGGCGGGGGTGGGGACGCATGACGATGGTGGGCGGGGGGGGGGGGTGGAGACGCATGACGGTGGTGGGCGGGGGGGTGGAGACGCATGACGGTGGTGGGCGGGGGGTGGAGACGCATGACGGTGGTGGGCGGGGATGGGGACGCATGACGATGGTGGGCGGGGGGTGGAGACGCATGACGGTGGTGGGCGGGGGGTGGAGACGCATGACGGTGGTGGGCGGGGGGTGGAGACGCATGACGGTGGTGGGCGGGGGGGTGGAGACGCATGACGGTGGTGGGCGGGGATGGGGACGCATGACGATGGTGGGCGGGGGGTGGAGACGCATGACGGTGGTGGGCGGGGGGTGGAGACGCATGACGGTGGTGGGCGGGGGGGTGGAGACGCATGACGGTGGTGGGCGGGGGGTGGAGACGCATGACGGTGGTGGGCGGGGGGTGGAGATGCATGACGGTGGTGGGCGGGGGTGGAGACGCATGACGGTGGTGGGCGGGGATGGGGACGCATGACGATGGTGGGCGGGGGGTGGAGACGCATGACGGTGGTGGGCGGGGGGTGGAGACGCATGACGGTGGTGGGCGGGGGGGTGGAGACGCATGACGGTGGTGGGCGGGGGGTGGAGACGCATGACGGTGGTGGGCGGGGGGTGGAGACGCATGACGGTGGTGGGCGGGGGTGGAGACGCATGACGGTGGTGGGCGGGGATGGGGACGCATGACGATGGTGGGCGGGGGGTGGAGACGCATGACGGTGGTGGGCGGGGGGTGGAGACGCATGACGGTGGTGGGCGGGGGGTGGAGACGCATGACGGTGGTGGGCGGGGGGTGGAGACGCATGACGGTGGTGGGCGGGGGGTGGAGACGCATGACGGTGGTGGGCGGGGGTGGAGACGCATGACGGTGGTGGGCGGGGGTGGAGACGCATGACGGTGGTGGGCGGGGGTGGAGACGCATGACGGTGGTGGGCGGGGGTGGAGACGCATGACGGTGGTGGGCGGGGGTGGAGACGCATGACGATGGTGGGCGGGGGGTGGGGACGCATGACGATGGTGGGTGGGGGGACTCCTGGGAGGTTGTAATCTGGCCGGGGCAGACTCGCTATGTTTACCACACTACTGAACTCAACGTAGCTTTTCCACTCATCATGCGGATGATCCCCGCCTCTCCTGACCGCACCACGAATCTCCATCACCCCCACCAACCCTCCCTAATGAGGGAGGGTTGGTGGGGGAGTTAATGTGGTGGAGGCTGACTCCATACACAGTTTTAAGTGTAGATATGATAGAGCTCAATAGGCGCAGGAGCCTGGATTGACAGTTGAGAGGCGGGACCAAAGAGCCAAATCTCAACCCCCGCAAGCACAACTATGTGAGTAGTGGACGTGGGACTGATTTTTCCTTACCCAAGGCAGGGAAAGACCGATAACAGTATTAAATTTAAGGAATTTCTGACTTAATCCACAGGATAAAAAGGAATGTTTAAAGACCTCATATAATCCACGTTTCTACAGCGACAGCAGCTATATAGAGCACCCTCGACCCGGGCCTTCAGAGTTACAGCCCCGCTCCTGTGCCGGGTAAGTCCACTACGGGCTCACCATAGCCCGTGCTGCTTGGAACTTTTGGTTTTAGCTGAATCTGAGAGAACAACAACGCGGCCTCCTGCCCCCCCGGCACTGGTCCCTCTCCCCTCACGTCTTGACCTTGGACGCCAATTCCCACACTTCAATATACTTAGCAACAGGAGATCTGCAAAGCTATCGTTATAGAATATTTGTAATCTTGATTATACATATATGTGGGATACGTTGTATATCTAAGGTATATTTGCCGCGTTTAAAGTATATATAAAAATAAGGGAAAGTTAGACCGGTATGAAACTGCAGTATTGTATCATACAATACACGTCAAGAGTATCAGTGAGGACGTCACTGTGTGTTCGTCATAAGTAAATGTTTAGTTTCATGACGCTGTGTCCATATCCTTCCTTGTCACTACCTGATAGTCTTTAGTAAACTCTTGTTTGTTTGGCAAACTGCATGAAAAATCTAATAGGCTGTACTTATTTGTAAAATTATATACGAAACTAGTAATGAGAGGAAACTATACAATAGTAGAAGACAATTCACCAAAATGAAATCAGAAGATCTAGCAAACTGTGGCATCGAGTAAAGTTTCTGGGGAACCAGGAGGCGTAAAGAGCCTCCTTCAGCGCCTCCGCCGCCAGCACCTCCACCACCAGTGCCATAGTGACGAGGTGTGGCAATGTTAGCCTCGTGGAAGCGACAGTGGTGTCAGTAATAATTCATATTTGTATTGCCAGCGGCGAGACCCGGAGGTAAGGGTGCGCGGGGAGGGGTGAGGAAGCAGACCTCACCACGCACAGCAGACGACACTCCGCCTCCGTCGCCACCTCCAGCACCACCACCATGCTCGCCTCCGCCAGGATGTCTCTACCCTGCACCAGCCTTAGGTGAGCTCCTGACACCCGGCCTCGGCCACCTGACGGCGTGAGGGTGTTCTCGGGGTGTGTGTGTGTGGGTGGTGGACGAGGGGTTGGTGAGGTGACACCGTGACTGGGAGGTTGTGACTCACAGCTGCAGGAGACGCTGCTGGTGATTACGGGCTCGCCATAGCCCGTGCTACATGGACACTTCGTACTGAGTAGCTAAATTAAAACAACGATAACAGTTTGTGGTGAGAGGGGAGACGGTGGTGGTGAGAGGGGCAGCTGCTGGAGACGGTGGTGGTCAGAGGGGCAGCTGCTAGAGACGGTGGTGGTGGTGAGAGGGGCAGCTGCTAGAGACGGTGGTGGTGGTGGTGGTGAGAGGGGCAGCTGCTAGAGACGGTGGTGGTGGTGAGAGGGGCAGCTGCTAGAGACGGTGGTGGTGGTGAGAGGGGCAGCTGCTGGAGACGGTGGTGGTGAGAGGGGCAGCTGCAGGAGACGCTGGTGGTGAGAGGGCAGCTGCAGGAGACGCTGGCGGTGAGAAGGGCAGCTGCAGGAGACGGTGGTGGTGAGAGGGGCAGCTGCAGGAGACGGTGGTGGTGAGAGGGGCAGCTGCAGGAGACGGTGGTGGTGAGAGGGGCAGCTGCAGGAGACGGTGGTGGTGGTGGTGAGAGGGGCAGCTGCAGGAGACGGTGGTGGTGGTGGTGAGAGGGGCAGCTGCAGGAGACGGTGGTGGTGGTGAGAGGGGCAGCTGCAGGAGACGGTGGTGGTGGTGAGAGGGGCAGCTGCAGGAGACGGTGGTGGTGAGAGGGGCAGCTGCAGGAGACGGTGGTGGTGGTGAGAGGGGCAGCTGCAGGAGACGGTGGTGGTGGTGAGAGGGGCAGCTGCAGGAGACGGTGGTGGTGGTGAGAGGGGCAGCTGCAGGAGACGGTGGTGGTGGTGAGAGGGGCAGCTGCAGGAGACGGTGGTGGTGGTGAGAGGGGCAGCTGCAGGAGACGGTGGTGGTGGTGAGAGGGGCAGCTGCAGGAGACGGTGGTGGTGGTGAGAGGGGCAGCTGCAGGAGACGGTGGTGGTGGTGAGAGGGGCAGCTGCAGGAGACGGTGGTGGTGGTGAGAGGGGCAGCTGCAGGAGACGGTGGTGGTGGTGAGAGGGGCAGCTGCAGACGGTGGTGGTGGTGAGAGGGGCAGCTGCAGACGGTGGTGGTGGTGAGAGGGGCAGCTGCAGGAGACGGTGGTGGTGGTGAGAGGGGCAGCTGCAGGAGACGGTGGTGGTGGTGAGAGGGGCAGCTGCAGGAGACGGTGGTGGTGGTGGTGGTGAGAGGGGCAGCTGCAGGAGACGGTGGTGGTGAGAGGGGCAGCTGCAGGAGACGGTGGTGGTGGTGAGAGGGGCAGCTGCAGGAGACGGTGGTGGTGGTGGTGGTGAGAGGGGCAGCTGCAGGAGACGGTGGTGGTGGTGAGAGGGGCAGCTGCAGGAGACGCTGGCGGTGAGAGGTCAGCTGCAGGAGAGAGCTAGACGACCTAAGAAGAGGGAGGCAGGGCTAGCAGGTGGGGAGCTCCACGCTCACTCCTCCAAAAGTCAGAGCGTGAGGGAACGCGTCATCAGCTGCCAACCGGAATTTGTAATGTTGATCGGGAAGCTTCAATGCAATACATTTGTACTTCCGTACGACTGTAGCAAGTAATGACGTGTGTGGTTAATATTTGTCCAGGTTTTACACACACCGACCTGACCACCAACCGGCCGTCGGCCGGGCTTACTTGACTGACAAGACTTTGAATGAATGACTGACTGACTGACTTTGACCGACTTTTACTGGCTAGCTGGCTTTGGCTGGCTGGCTTTGACTGGCTGGCTTTGACTGACAATGACTTTGACCTGACTGACTTTGATTTTGACTGACTGACTGTGACTTGGACTGATTTTGACTGACTTTGACTTTGAGTAACTGACTTTCACTGACTTTGCCTGATTGACTTTGACTGACTGACTGACTTTGGCTGACTGACTTTGAGTGACTGTGACTTTCACTGACTGACTGACTGTGACTTTCACTGACCGACATTGACTTTTAACTGACTGTGACTGACTAACTTTGACTTTTACTAAGTCAGTCAGTCAGAGAAGTTAGGTTGAAATGCAACATGTACAAGGTTAGAAGGCGGGGCATAAACGCTATGCGTGTCAGTGGCTTTATAAGAGTAAAAATACCAATTATATGTAACCTCACAATCCAATTGTACCTTCTTGTAAATAAAAGAATAGATATTATAAGAGCTAGACCTCACTCCCCTGTAGATACTTATAGATAAATAGACAAATACACTCTGTATTTTGTGTGTTTAGTACATATAGGAGTCATTATTGGCATAATGTTAATTTAGTAGCGTCGGAATCCATCCCAGTGTTATGATTACGGGGGGGTTTACAGTTCTGATTAGAATGCCGGGAGGCGCGCAGCCTTCTCTTGTATTCTGGCCCCAGCCAGCTGTGTCTGGTGGTCATACCTTCAGCTCACACCATGGGTGCTCGCCTACCTTTAGTACGGCTTTAACTCGGGCAGCTATCTTAAGATGGAGAAATTATGTATTTTACGCTTAGTTTTTAATTATGGGGGCATAATCTCCGCTCTTCACTTAGATTGATATGAATTATATGGGTAGAGGTACAGCATAAGTAGGGTTATCTTGAGATGATTTCGGGGCTTTAGTGTCCCCGCGGCCCGGTCCTCGACCAGGCCTCCACCCCAGGAAGCAGCCCGTGACAGCTGACTAACACCCAGGTACCTATTATACTGCTAGGTAACAGGGGCATAGGGTGAAAGAAACTCTGCCCATTGTTTCTCTCCGGCGCCCGGGATCGAACCCGGGACCACAGGATCACAAGTCCAGTGTGCTGTCTGCTCGGCCGACCGGCTCCCTACTCCCTAGGGTACTCCTTAAGTATTATCAGTTGAAAGCGACTTGGTATCCTGAGAACTATAACACGTGGGTGGGTCCAAGCGCCAAATTCCCACACCAGTGGTGTAGGTGTATGGGTGCACCTGCACCCATGGAACAGCTGAGTGGATAGGTGGGTCTCGCACTACGTGGAACAGATGGGTGGGTGGGTCTCACGTCCCATGGAACAGGTGGGTGGATAGGTGGGTCTCGGGTCTCTTTGTGCATTTGGGCAGGACGGGTAACCTGTGGTGCCAGTTGGTGGGTGGGTCTCACCTCATGGTGTAGGTAGGTCTCACCTGAGGTGTAAATAGGTGGGTCACACTAGAAGTGCAGGTGGTGGGTAAGTCATCCACCAGTGATGTAGAGGTGTATGGGTTTCTCACACCCCGTGGTGCAGGTGGGGTCTCTCACCCCGTGGTGCAGGTGGGGTCTCTCACCCCGTGGTGCAGGTGGGGTCTCTCACCCCGTGGTGCAGGTGGGGTCTCTCGCCCCGTGGTGCAGGTGGGGTCTCCCGCCCCGTGGTGCAGGTGGGGTCTCTCGCCCCGTGGTGCAGGTGGGGTCTCTCACCCCGTGGTGCAGGTGGGGTCTCTCGCCCCGTGGTGCAGGTGGGGTCTCTCACCCCGTGGTGCAGGTGGGGTCTCTCGCCCCGTGGTGCAGGTGGGGTCTCTCGCCCCGTGGTGCAGGTGTGGTCTCCCGCCCCGTGGTGCAGGTGTGGTCTCCCGCCCCGTGGTGCAGGTGTGGTCTCCCGCCCCGTGGTGCAGGTGGGGTCTCCCGCCCCGTGGTGCAGGTGGGGTCTCCCGCCCCGTGGTGCAGGTGGGGTCTCTCACCCCGTGGTGCAGGTGGGGTCTCTCACCCCGTGGTGCAGGTGGGGTCTCTCGCCCCGTGGTGCAGGTGGGGTCTCTCGCCCCGTGGTGCAGGTGGGGTCTCCCGCCCCGTGGTGCAGGTGTGGTCTCCCGCCCCGTGGTGCAGGTGGGGTCTCCCGCCCCGTGGTGCAGGTGGGGTCTCCCGCCCCGTGGTGCAGGTGTGGTCTCCCGCCCCGTGGTGCAGGTGGGGTCTCCCGCCCCGTGGTGCAGGTGGGGTCTCCCGCCCCGTGGTGCAGGTGGGGTCTCCCGCCCCGTGGTGCAGGTGGGGTCTCCCGCCCCGTGGTGCAGGTGGGGTCTCTCACCCCGTGGTGCAGGTGGGGTCTCTCACCCCGTGGTGCAGGTGGGGTCTCTCGCCCCGTGGTGCAGGTGGGGTCTCTCGCCCCGTGGTGCAGGTGGGGTCTCTCGCCCCGTGGTGCAGGTGGGGTCTCTCGCCCCGTGGTGCAGGTTGGGGGTCTCGCCCCGTGGTGCAGGTGGGGTCTCTCGCCCCGTGGTGCAGGTGGGGTCTCTCGCCCCGTGGTGCAGGTGGGGTCTCTCGCCCCGTGGTGCAGGTGGGGTCTCTCGCCCCGTGGTGCAGGTGGGGTCTCTCGCCCCGTGGTGCAGGTGGGGTCTCTCGCCCCGTGGTGCAGGTGGGGTCTCTCGCCCCGTGGTGCAGGTGGGGTCTCTCGCCCCGTGGTGCAGGTGGGGTCTCTCGCCCCGTGGTGCAGGTGGGGTCTCTCGCCCCGTGGTGCAGGTGGGGTCTCTCGCCCCGTGGTGCAGGTGGGGTCTCTCGCCCCGTGGTGCAGGTGGGGTCTCTCGCCCCGTGGTGCAGGTGGGGTCTCTCGCCCCGTGGTGCAGGTGGGGTCTCTCGCCCCGTGGTGCAGGTGGGGTCTCTCGCCCCGTGGTGCAGGTGGGGTCTCTCGCCCCGTGGTGCAGGTGGGGTCTCTCGCCCCGTGGTGCAGGTGGGGTCTCTCGCCCCGTGGTGCAGGTGGGGTCTCTCGCCCCGTGGTGCAGGTGGGGTCTCTCGCCCCGTGGTGCAGGTGGGGTCTCTCGCCCCGTGGTGCAGGTGGGGTCTCTCGCCCCGTGGTGCAGGTGGGGTCTCTCGCCCCGTGGTGCAGGTGGGGTCTCTCGCCCCGTGGTGCAGGTGGGGTCTCTCGCCCCGTGGTGCAGGTGGGGTCTCTCGCCCCGTGGTGCAGGTGGGGTCTCTCGCCCCGTGGTGCAGGTGGGGTCTCTCGCCCCGTGGTGCAGG